CCTACAATACATAATGTACTTGTCCTCAATTATTGCAATTTGATTATGCAAGATAGATTAAATGGTCAATCTTTGAGGAGTATTTCTGTTGTTATCATTGTCACTTTTTGAATTGGATGTCGATTATTTTGTGTAGTTGTGGTACAATATTTTTATGTATATGTTAAATTTATATAAAAAAAACCCTTGCAAATAAAGGTCTAATTCTTAAGCTATCTATACCTAAAATTCATCAGGATATTCTAATTAGTGAAAAAAGTTATGAAATTTATACTTTTCAATATTTTATAATGCAGTTATAAAATTTTGGTTCTGTGCTAAATTAATTTGGTGAATATACTCCATTGAGGAAAAATCTGATGTTGCCTTGCAGCACCCTGGGTATTTAATACACTTAGTACTATCATTTAATTAACAACTTTGGTTGTGGTTTATTCTTTAAATTTTCTTTTGGTGGAAGAAAATAACGAATAAAATATCAAGGCATATTTTCCAAATTGATTGAACTAATAAACTAGTACATTTTCAAAAACTACTGTCAAATAGTTTCAAGTATGAAAGAGAGAAAATAGCTTTGCTTTTAATAAGAACTCTAAACACATGAGCAGAAAACTTTTCTGTCCAATAAATAAATCTGGCTTTACATGAAGTAATGCTGAGTAAAAGCTGTCTTTGTGGTATTTTCAATGCCTAATTTAGTTTTTATTTCTAAGTAATAAAAGAGATTTTTGTTAATAGTTTATATATTCCTTTCTCATTTATTAGACCTCATATAGACTAGCTAGGTAACTCCTTTTTGTTCTTATGCATGGTATATATATTAGTACTCTTCATACCTATCACAGTTTCTCTTCACATATGGTATATACCTTGAACATCAGAAAAAGACAAATGATTTATAAGAAATCTGTCAGAGTAACAGGTCATGTTGTGCTTGATGTGCCTTTACCAGTTTGTTATATTCATCTGTATCAGAGGTTAATTTCATTTAAACTTTTGAGTATATGGATAGCCTATTTTGCAATGCAAGACAGTGTGGGGTTTTTTTTTTGTTTGTTTTTTGGGTGTTTTTTTTTTAATGAACTGCTTATGTTCTTGGGGCAATATATAAACTGTCACAGCATGAAATCAATTTTCTGCCTTGATTCATCCTAAATCTGAGATTTCTAGCACATTAGTATTGCAATTAGAAACATTAACAGCAGACGGTAGCATAAAAGCACGCTCTGCTCACTGACAATTTAGTGTATTTCTCCTTGTGCAAAATAGGAATCCAGGAAAGAACAGGCTTGAGCCTCCAATCCACTGATACATTTATCAGATCAAACTTAAGAGGAATGGCACGTCTCTGCTTCGCACTCTCCATGGTCATTCTGCTAAGGCAGATTATTCATGCTTACTTGATTCAGGTAGGCTTTTTGCAAGCTTCCCCGCTAAGCCTGGGAATGCAGTACATTGAGGCCTATTCATAGGCTTCTGACATAGACCGAGCTTTTATTGCATGGTGTTTTATTATAGCCAAATCCTAGTCTCCACCCAGTTTGTAGGCACTGTGCTTATTCTTTTGAATCAAGAGAGGTTATCACCTACCTTAATCCATGCAGCAGGGTGGATTAAGGACACCAATGTGCCTCAGGATTCTCAAAGAGGATCCTGGAAACTTCTTGTTTCTTCTTTTTTGCTGTCTTTACTAAACTCTATTGGGCCTCAGTAAGGATTTGCATCTGAAATGGGCAACCTGGAGCTTTTCTCAATGAAGACATCAGATCAAAGTTCAGTTAGTCAAGGCCTTTCTAAAACATTAAGGGGGCTTGGAAGTACACAATAAAAAGATGAGCTCTGGCAGAGATTGCAGTAAAAACATTCAGATCTGTAATCCGGATAAAGAATAGATTATAGGCCAAAGAACAGCCCCTGTTTAAATTGCTTTCAGAGTCCTCGTTTTAAATAAAGATACATTTTACATTAAAAATGTTTAGATTTTGATAGATTCTTACATTTTGCTGGACTTCTTTAAAAAGCAGGTACAGATAAATAACTTTAAGAATGTATTTTTCCTCTTTTTTTTTTTTAAGTAAAACTTATCTGCCTCTTGTGACTAGATACACATGAGCAATTTTGTGGGTTTTCAAATTAAAAACTAATTATTTCTTTTAATGAAAAGTTTGGAGTTAGTTTGATTATTCTGTTGGTTTTGTAGGAAAAATACTATATTATTGTTACTATTTATTTTCTCTCATAACTGACCAGCCTAACATCCATTGATGATATAATTTCAAAATATTTACTCTAAATCAAATTATTCTAATTAATCTTAATAGTTTAATATATTTTTGGTAAGCTGAAGCATGAAATAAAATTGTTTAAGTACATAGCATGATTGCTTTCAGAAAGCTAACTATAAATACATAGCCATGTCTGGCATGTCTATATTCTTTCTTTTTACTGTTATAGTACTTACTTTATTAGCAAGACTAAGGTTTATGAAAACCACAAGCTTTCTGTAATAATCCGAGTTGGAACTAAATAATTTGTTGCTCAACAAACAAAAAATTATTGGGATCCCATTATTGTAATAATTCAGCATACCTATCATCATTCCTGTATATAGCAAGAATAGCAGATATTGAAACTGGAGCAGAAGTTGTTCCAAAGAATTTTTATTGCGTTCACACACAACCTTGCTCAACTTTCAGATAGCGAATAAAATGTATGTATTGGCCTGCTTAAAGGAAAAATCCTTTTATAGAATGTTCTAAGTTGTTACAGGATCTACTGAGAAACTTTTGAAATTATCGGGGGCATTTCTGGTCACTTTTCAAAAGTAATTCCATACTTTTAAGTACAAACAAAACAGCATTTCATTTTACCTACCAATCCAAACTTCTCTTCAGAACAACCTTTAAAAGGCACTCTGTTCTGCAGTGTGAATGTGTCTTCAATGTGTCTCTTACTTTCACCTCTTAGCTTTTGTCTCACCTGTTCTCTTTCACTACTGTTGAGATATTTCATTTTATTTTAATACATTATCATTTAGTATGTGAGGTGGCTCTTGGCTGTTATGGGGGATACAGCTTAGCACTAAGTCTTGGAGTTGGGAGATAGAAAAATTATTTTTAAATGTTTTTGCACATTCCTGCATTGTACAATGTACAACCTCAGATGCAATCCAGGCTTAAGGTAGCTGTCCTCAAAATAAACTTAAGATGTGATCTTTCTTTTCACCTGCAAAGCTGCTGTTAAAAGTCTAGGTCCAGGCATTTTACCAATTAGAAATACTGTGAGCTTGATTGATACTTGTGTTGCGAAACTTGTTTGGTTATTCTAAATGACTTTTTCGTCAAAAGTGTTAGAACAGTTCATAAGAGATAATCTTATCAGAAGCACAGTTGTGTTTGTGCCCTAACCTAAAGTTCAATTTTAATATTGCTTAAACATTACAGTTTTTACAGTAAGAAATACTATATAGTGGTTTATATTTATGCCAAGTGTTTTCCTTCCCTGGAAGAAACTAACTCACCTCTGAGGTTTACTCTGCTTGACTGTTATTTCCAGGATACGTTTGGTTTTTTTAATACGAAGGGCAGAAAAGGTGAAGAAAATGGACTGTTACATGAAGAGCAAAAAGTGTTCAATTCCTGTAGCAGACAGCTGCTACATGCTTGAATACTGCATATTATAACAATCTAGGGTTTTTTTAACCTTACATGTGTAATTCAAATAATGTTGCCGGTTTCATGCTAAACTCCATTAATGTGGAACAAAAATTTGCACTCATTTCCTCTATTCACTAGCAAAACATATTACAAATGTGTAATTCCTGCTATGGTGTATATTAAATTTGGGGGGGGTTATGAAGTTTTATATCTCCAAAATTGAGACCTGATTAAAAGTATCTTCATTATAGTAAACCATGGTTATTGTGTGTAATGTCTGCGTAATGCTCTCCTCTTTTTTACAATTTTGTATTAAAATCAGATATATGAAGATGTGGTACTATTTTTTCTTACTGATCATAAATAAATAAAGTGAAACATTATCAAAGTCAACTGAAAATGTTTCTGTAGTGCCATATAATTCCCGGATACTGAAAAATCAGATGAGTGGAACATGGCATGGTCTGCACATTAGGTATATCTGACCTTTTGAAATTTGTGATCATATGTCTAGAACCTGTGCAAAAATACATTCTTTTAAGTATCTGACTGCACTTTGGTAGTGCAACTTGGAATAGTAAGGGTTGAATTCTGTGTGAAAAATTCACATCTAGGATGTCAACAGGGGAACCAAAACTTAGTAGTAAATGTTATAATGTTGAAGCTTATACTAAGCTGAATGGGAAAAAAACCCAGAGATTTCTTTCAAGTGTATTGCTAGTTAATTATTTTCTTTTGACAGATAATAATTTAATAGGTTATTGTAATCAGTATTGTTGTTTCCACAGGCCAGCCCAACAACATCTACAAAGTTTGGCCATTATTATGATGTTTCTAAAACAATGTCTCTAGAACTGTTTCAGTCCATAAAATGCCACAGTTTTTACCTTCCTGAAGAATTGGCTTTACAGCCTAAAATGAAAACATGGTAAGTTGTAATACCACATGCTTCTGTTGTGTGTTCAAATTTTGTCTGCATATTAGTAGTAAATGATATTTTTGCATCTACACTTGCTGTGAAAATCTTGTAGCCACGCGTGGCTCTCAAGCAGTTTGGCTGTGGTTCTCATGTCAGTGCTACAGGCCACGACAGGCAGCAAAGCTGCTGTGGCACAGAGACAGCTCAGTTATACCAACTCCTCAGCTGTGGGAGGAAGCAAGTTGGCAGGGACAATTAAGGCAGACATTACTAGGACAGCCTAGGACACAGCTGCATGTTCAGTCCAGCCCTGCTGACAGCTGAGTGTGTAGACTGGGGAAAACTATTACTATCTGTCTGTGAACTACTCCCTGAGCACCATGCCCCATCAGCTTTCAGAGATGTGTGTGTCAGGTGGCTATCAGTCTTAGGAAGATATCCATACAGTTTTTAGAGCTAAGAAGACAGGCCATCCTTGACCTACATAGCTTAGAATGCTATATCAGATTAGTTTATTATGTGACTTTTACTTCTTACATCCTACAGCTTCACCTAAGGAAAATACAAAATACTGTGAATAGAATTACAATCACTAATTATGTCTTACACAACACCCCCAATTCAAGAGAAAATCATAAACTCTTCTCTGAATGAATAACTTATTATGGTTTATGTCTATCAGTAATGAATTAAGGAAGGCCAAGAGAAAATGAGTGACAGTAGCGAAGACTCATATTAGCCCGTAGCACACATGTCCATGGTATCTTTCTTGGAGACATTTCAAGTCAAGTCAAACATCAAATACAGGCTAGCAATCTCTTTGTTCAGCCCAGTCACTTAATTTATATAATACCTAGTTTTATAGGTCCCAGTATATAGGGCCAAATCATGGAAGTAGTAGTACGGTATGCTTTATTGTGATTTATTTTCATTACAGTACACTCAAATATAAACACTGAGATTTGTGAAAGTGCAATGTGATGCACCTTTCTTAGAGCTGTAGAAAAGAAAAAGCCAAGTCTCTTCATAATTTGTTTCTGTGTTACATAATCAAATGTCACTGGTTTGTAAAGTAAATTCTTGCAATGTTGTAGAAAAATATGCTTTCAGGAGAAAGCAGAGAACTTATATTTTATTCTTTCTATAGTAAATATTTGAACCAACTTTATATAGTATGTATAATTATTTATTTAATTTTTTAGTAGCAAGTCTATAGACAATAGACACGAGAGTATCTGACATATAGGTTGGAAGTGTTTATATTGTTATTGAGAGATTTAACTCCCTTTCTGTCTTTTCTCTAGCTAGCTAGTGTCTCATGACTCTTGGCTTAATTCCACTAACTATATGGCTGTCAAGCATTTGTACATTTTACATTAACATCAAATTAACTCATATGTATAATATAGGAAATGGACTTTAACTTTTATGCGTTTTATTTACTTGCTTAACTCTGATATTTTCCTTGTGTGTTATCCTGATAAAAGTTCATCATTCTTACCATATGAATTCTGTTCTTGGTTTTAATCTAACGGAAAGATTAGATTTAGGTCATTTGCTTGGCAAATTGGTAGAGCACAGAATGATGAGGTGAGGAACGTGATCAAATAAAGATGGATTTTGGAAGGCTTGTCTCCTTTTCTTCTCCCTGCACCTACAACATGGGTCTCCTTCAAGAAGCCTCTCCTGAGGAAATGAAAGAATTGTATTGTTGAGAGTAAAAGCAGGTACCAAGGTAACAAATAACCACCATTGTAAACATCATTTTCTTAGACCACAGTGCAATGTGATAAGGAACAGGGAGGAGTAAAGAACATTGGGAACAGTGAACTCTCAGACAGAAATCTGTGGGAATTGTGTGAAGAGATGTGTACGTCTCTTTCTTCATTTACAGTCGATCATTTGTCTTCTGGCTTTGATTATTTTCTTTCCTGACCACAAACACCACTGTTTTTGCATTCCCTATATTAAAAAGGTTGCAGTAGGTCAAGGTTAAGACAGGGTGGGAAGAAGAATTTTTCAGAATTGCAACCTCTGAAATAAAGCTTATTTCCTCATAGAAAAATGGAAGATTTAAGCTTCCCATAATTACAGTCATTCAATTTTGACACACATTTAAAAAATAAACTGAATTAGAATTTCAGCTTCTATTCATCAGTGTTGTATAACTGGAGTTCTTAAAAAATTACGAAAGTGGAGAAAAGCTGCTTCTTCTATTACCCTGATCCCCAAATTGATGTGCACCTAGCACAGTTAATATCAGCTAATTGGACTACCCAATTTACATAAGGAAAGACCAGGTTAGAAAATACGTAAATGTTTTCAAGCTGGGACCTTATGAAGTTCATCAGTAAAATGAATAGAATTGTCAAAGTTCCACAAAGTCAAAAAGCCCAAAGCAATCAATGCCTATATTTAAGGAAAGGAGAAGATGAGAACATCTGTGTGATAATATCAGTGCTCTGAAAAATACCAGAGAAATTAATATAATCTATTTTTAAGCTTCTAGGGTAGTTTCACCTTGTATTTGTTTCCTTTGTTTGCTTATGGGTATTCGGCTGAGATGGGGTCAAAAGGCTCTAAAATAAAACAGGAGATATTCTCCATTGATAAAGTCTGTTATGATGTCAAAGGAGGAACATAGATTGGTGTGACAGTTTTGGTTTCGTCATGTTGATTGTTAAATCCTTATCTTCTAAATAAGCTGTCACTGAGTCACAGCTGAACCTGAGTGAAGTACCAGGCTTTATCCCAGTGTTGGGTCTGGTAATAATCTAGTACTAATTTGGCTTGATACATATCCCGAGCAATGGGTATCTTTATTGCAGTCATAATGTCATATTTGGAAAAAAGTGGAAGGAATAATTGCACGCAGATTAGATAATAGAATTAGAATTCAAGAAGATTTAGTTGGTGATCTGGTATAAACTATATGGAATTCACTGAAGGCATGCTGAATGTCATACTAGTAGGAATAATTAATTGAACAAATAAAATAGTGTAGCAGGTCTCCAGAAGAAGATCTGGGGTTATAAAGTATCTTGAACATAAAATATATTAGTAGTGTTGTGGGATTAATGTTACCAAAAAGCGTAATTTAAAAAGCATGGAGGTGATAAACTGGCATTTAACGTAGAAGACATGCTAACTACTTCTGCTCAGCCTTAACAAGGCTGTCCAATTTTTGATAACATCCTTAAAGAAAACTCTGGATCAGTTAGAGAATGTTGTAAAGATAAATATACGTCTAGACTTGGGATGTATGGACTGTGATAGAAATTCTTAGACAAATCTAAGCAGAGCCTTCAAGCACGTTAAAAGCTGACATACAGAGGCTAGTAACGGTTGTCTGGTGAGGGTAGGACAAGCAGTAATGGGCTACAGTAAACTGTAGTGGTAGAAATACTGGCTGGAAATAAGGAGATATTTTTCTAATGATTAGCATGAGAAGAAGTTGCCTTGCAGACACAGGTTGGGAGTATTGTAGAATCTCCATCATTGAAAATTTCTAAGGACAAGTTAGGTAAATATCTGTCAGAGATGGTTTAGATGTAGTTTATCTTGCTTTGGGGCAAGAAGATAGACTACCTGACCTCTTGAGGTCCTTTTCATCCCTGTCTTCTGCGATTCTTTAATACACATTAGTCACAGTGTATTAAATCCAATACTAAGTATGAATGTTACCAATTATTTCACTGCTCTCAAAACATTTATGCTTTTACAGAAACCTAACAGGCTTGTACTGTAGTTTTTACAAATACTGTGATGAAATTCTGAAGGAAGCTTTCCTTTCTCAAGGAACAAAAACAAGCTCACACTCCTGTCAGGATGATTTCATTAAAGAAAGTTTATAAAGGCGGGGGGGAGGGGAAGGATCTTCTTTTGTTGGCATTACTGTTTAGAAAATCAATACAATGCTTCTGGCTTCTACAGCTAACCAGTATATCATAGAATAGTAAAAATTTCTGTTCTCTTGATTAACTAGACAATGATTTGAAAGTAATGCGATAGTCACAGTTAACCCTTCCAATAGAAGTCAAGAATTTGTATTAGATCTCATCTTTGATTGCCTGAAGGTCCCACTGAGAGCTTAAGCTAACTTCTTTAAGTCTGTGTTACGGTGAACTAGGTGCATGGGCATGGCTAGTTAGCATTCTCCACTTAGAGGATATAATTTCTTAAACATAAGGTTCTCGGACTACGGTCTTAGATGCATAGCCAAAAAAACACCTGACAATGTTAATTACCTATATAGCATTGTGAAATATCTGTAATCTATTGCATTGACAAGAAAAAGTACTGATAACATGGAAGGAACTAAAAAGATCGCCACAAAAATGACTTAAAATTCAGAAAATCTCTAAAAATAAGATTTTTTCAATTTAATTTACAAAACAAGATTGATAGAAAATCTGTTAACACTGAAAGCTGACAAATCCTTCAAAAATAAGGAAGCATTTTTAAGAAAGGGGATAATTCATTACTGAAATAATTTACATTAGTTGGCTATTTATTATCAGATGATTGCAAACGATTTCTTTACTTTCTAAAGGGTATACTTTGCAAGATATATACAAGTAAAGACATTTACGAATGAAGGTTTCTCTTAAATCTTGTAGGAGTGCAGACCAAAATCAGTGCTATGGGGTTGTGGTTTGTTTTTTTTTTTAAATCTAAGAAAGTTTTGCTTTTGTCACTATTACAGAGGTTGAGGAAGAAGTGGAAACTGGTAGTTTTGCCTCTCTTCCCCTACCCTTCTTTTCTTTGGCAAGGGATGGAGAACAAGAAGAACAATCCTTTGCTCTCCTTTCCTTTCACCACTCAGGGATATAATGACAAAGAACAGATTATGCGGTTAAAGCAGAAAATAATCAAGAAAAGTAATGTGTCACATTTTGCTATACAGCTTGTACTCTTCTGACAGAAACAGTGAGTATAGTGAACATACATTTTACAATCCTTTGATAAAGAGTGCTGCATCCATTTATAAGCAAGGTCCTGTGTCATAATGTTTTGTGGCATAAGAACCCTGTATTTGTAAAAATGACCAAATGATCTTGGTGCTTCTAATTCTCTAGCATCACATGAAGAAACCTATTTTATTTAAACTGTTCTTCATTGAGTGAACTGTCTCTGTAATTGTAGCTAATGTCTGTTGCAAGATAATTACAGTGCAGGATCAGAGATGTAGAGGCTTTATTTGGGCCTGAAATTCTCGGCCCTTTGTAGAAATCATGTATATCTATACATATGTCCCTCTTTTCCTATCCACGCAAGCATTTGGCTTCTTGGACTTGCAAACAGAGGTGATTCTTTGACTGATTAGATAGAATTAAGTTATTGACTGGCCTTTTACTTTGCAATTAAAGATCGGATTTGGAGATTATATACATCATTTGTTCACCTCAAAGTTCAGCTCAATTTTTCTTTTCTTTCCTGAGTTTTTACACACACACGTGTGTATCTGCTCTTTGACAGAGGGAGGTGAGGATACTGTGTTTGATCTCCTGTCCATAGTTCTGGTACCTGATGGCTAAATTAGATTACAGGGTTCCCTTTGGGGTAATCACTCAAGATGGGGGGAACTTCATTGCCCCATGATAAACATTAATTAAAAACAGATTGGCAAGTCTGTTCTCCTAAAGGAAATAGTAAATGGGACCGGGTGTTTGGTGCCAAAAGAAGGAATAAACCTTCTCTTTCTTATCTCATTATTTTTTATGTTGGGGAAGGGCAGTTACGTCCTAGCCCTAATGCTGGGACCAGGTTAATGGGGTTCTGCAGCTGGCAGCAACTCTTTTCCGGTTGTTGTTGCTAGGATATTCTTGTGTCCTTTTCGTTGCATTGCTAAAGCTGGTACTTAACAGGAAGGCAGAAATATCCTCTGTGATAATTCTGTGCATCGCAGAAAAGGCTTACTTTCTACCCCTCTACTTCTATCCTTGTTGGTCAGTTGCAGTTACTACAAGAGGAAGTTTGATAATCAAGGGAACTAAAATAATTAAGCTATAGTTTTTCAATAATACTCATAAGTTTTACCTTAAGAATGTGTGTGCTTTCAAAAAAGAATATATTTATCTAGAGTCTTGATTTACTGATAAATTTAGATAAAACAGGTTTAACTGTCTTGCCTAATGGGGTCTCCTTATACATAATAAGGCTATTTGTCATACCCTTGATAACCTAACCTTTGTTAACTGCTTAGAAACTATCAACAGAGAAGTCAGAGGCTCGGTTGTAACCGGGATACCTTCTTGCCATCTCCTGCTTTATCCATTACTAAACTGCTAAACAAAAAAAAGAGTAAAGAAGGAATTGTTTAAACTCATTATCAGAATTAAACGACGTTTAGTAACAAAGCCAAAAAAAGACTAGAAATTGGAAAACAAGAAATATCTTATTTCCTTCCTTAAATATTATGACAAACATTGCCAGAAGGTTAGTGCGACTTGTTTTTGTAAATAGTGTTTCCACAATATTTTTCATGTCCTTATTTACATAGCATGGTTCAAATTCAAGTAAACCATTAATATTTTAGCAAGTAGAAGAGCACCTATTTTTACATTTTAGAAAAATCTATGTGCATTACGTTATTTTCTTTAATTCTTTCTTTGCTACAAATCTTTTTCAGACGGATTAATTGAAGAACTCTTTTATTAGTTTGGTTTAATTTTGGGACCTTTTAATTCTGCTAACACTTTAGGTATTTTATTCTTTTATCCACTAACTTTTGAAAGCAGGTTAGTAACAAATCAGGAATTGGCAAGTATTGTGATTGCAGTATATTCTCTGACATCCCTATAGATAGCACGTTAAGCAAAATAAGCGATAGATGTGGTGACAAAAAGACCACAGTCGTGTTTTTGTGTTATGCATACTGTACTGTGGCTATGACTACAAGATAGTTGCAAACTCTTTCCTAATGGTGGTGAGCAGCAGTTTGTATCTTTTCCAAAAGGATAAAGGAATATCCGAAAGGATATGCTTCTGGTTACTGTGAAGTGCTGATGATTCTCTCCAGCTCTGGCGGAACTGGGAAGAAATTGCAGCACTGTGTAAGCAGCAAGGATCCTGCGTGTGTGTTGTGATTATGTGAAGACATGGAGAGAGAAGATATTTGGGCTAGCATGGAGGCTAAAGCCCTCTTCCCCCCCATCTACCCTGTAAACAGGCATCTGCAAGACAGTATAGGTGTAACATTTAACAGCCATTCCTTTTGCAACTAAACACTAGGAAAGTAATTGACTTCATAAGCGAAAATTTACTCTTCTGATTGAGATTCTCTTTTGTTGTTTAGCAGGGCAGACTTTACATGTTAAATGTCATGTTGAAATAATATATTGCCAGTTATTTGCAGCTGTGAATTTCATAGAGGGTATTAAATTATTAAGGTGCATTGGTTTAACCAGTAGCCTTCTAGGGTACTAAATCTGAAAAAAAAATCCAATTGGAGTTTAAGTTGGAAACTCTCCCTTTTATTTCATAGAATCATAGAATGGTTTGGGTTGGAAGGGACCTTAGAGATCATCTAGTTTCAACCCCCCTGCTGCAGGCAGGGACACCCTCCACTAGACCACGTTGCCCGAAGCCTCATCCAACCTGGTCTTAAACACTGCCAGGGATGGGGCATCTATGTCTGAGAAGGGTCATCTCTTAATGTTTTATGACATTGAGTATTTCAAAACCTGAAATTGTTGTGACTACATGAGTTTTTTGATTGTAAGTGTTTATAACTTAAATATATCATTGGGAGGGTTGAGTTTGGGTTGATACTCTTTTCTTGAAAGAAATGTAGAATTTTGAGTTAAATCAATGGTGTAAAAAGCAGATGTTTGCAACTCTTAAGTACTTCTCTGAAAAGTAATCTACTCTCCTGTGCAAAGCATGAAAGCAAGTTTATTTGGGTTTATTTAGGTATTCATTAGTAAAGTACATTTGGATAACATTTTTGGCTCTTACTAAATTAATGGAAATGGTTTTGTTAATGTTTGGACCAGGTGATCTTTCGAAGTCCCTTCCAACTGAGCTGTTATCAGACCAGACATATAAAATGATTGGAGCAAGTAAGGATATTTTTAGAAGCAAAAGTTTCAAAATAACCTGTCATATTTCCCAAGAAGAACACAAGAAGGGTTGAATCCACAACCCTTAATGCTAATTAGAAGGAAATACTGAAGCTGGAAAAGATAACAGGGCTTAAACTCTCAGTTGCAGTGAGGAACCTGCACCAAGTCCAGACACACAAGCCACTATGCTCTATGGGATTTAAGAAAACAGTATCTCTCTTTTAAAAGTGAACAGGCTTGCTTTTTTTAAAGTAAAGATTAGGGCTTTCTGTCCTTTGTGCGTGTTAGCCTGTGGACTGGAGAGCATGGCTGAGAGGAATATCTGAAGAAGTGCTTTGGATGTGTGGGAACTGGACCTTCTAAGCCTTTGATGAGACAATCTGCTCAATTTTCACTTGGTTTTAAGTCTGCTTAAATCCATTGATAGCCACTGGTTTGCCTTTTTTTCCTTTTTTTTAAATTTTTTTCTAATATTTTCTAAATAATGTATAAAATAAATTCTACCTCACAATTCTGTTATCAAGCAAATCAGTAATAACACCTGTAGTGTATGGATACAAAATGGAACCATAGCATAGCAGAATGTATTTTATGCTCTGCTGTGGTATCAAAAAAAAAAACCTTAAAAAAATAGAACACACTAACTACATGAACTTTTAAATTGTGAGAATGTTGTCTCTTTCATTTGTTGTTGGTTTTAATTGTTGTAGCAATTGTATGTATGAAAGTTGTCAGTAATAGAAAGTCAGCTGTTCATCAGGGCATTGATTAGGTGTACATGGAATAACAATTGGGTAGCTCTTTGTCAGTTATAGAAGATTAGTACCGTGCTGTAATGGTTCCAACTTTAAGTTAATACATTAAATCATTAATCTTCTAGATGTAAGTGAGCCTGACATAATTAAGTTATCTTAATCTCTAGAGGTTTTAGCTTTCACTAAATATCTGAGCACTGAACTAGTTAACGTGAAGCAATCACAACTGCTTATAATGTCAACTATATTCAGAGAGGTTTGGTTTTTTCTTCTATGACACTTTCTTCTGTATTACACTTTCAGACTGAAAGCTACGTCTGCTTATATTTATTTTTAATACAGCTGTTAGAGACATATAGGAGAGTATTAAAATGTGTCACTAAACTATTTCTTGTTACCAACAGTAATATGAACAGTGCCTACACAAGGCTGCTTGAGTCTATTCAGAGGATCATTTACCAGGAAGGGTTTGATGGCTCCGATCCTCAGGTACTGAACACCCTCGTACTATTCTGTAATCCTGTAACTAACATTGTTTTCTGAATTTTCAAGGGTGGTACAAGAAGGTCTTGGACAGAGTAACAAGGGACAGGCTGTTTCTACGCATTGCTAAAGTAAACAAGCAAAGTAAATAGAAAGTGTGGTTCATATTTTAATGTACATTTGGAGTTTTCACCTGTTACAGATATACAGACGATGCAAGAAAAGAACTGTAAGCTAACATTAGTAAAATGCATCTTCTGTGCAATTAGCTAATAAATGGATTGCCAAATGTAATGTAATTCGGCAAAACACATTTTCCCCTACAGGTTTTGGGGTTTTTTTAAACTATTGCTTTAGCAATAATGTGCTCAAGACTCTTGAGATTGAACATGTAATCTTAAACTTTCCGGTTTTTCAATATTGTTTTAACTGTGAATTTTTTTATGAATTAAATGGTGTGCATCTTTATGTAGCAAGTATTGAAACACAAGCCAAGAAATAAAAATGCTCTTTCAGCTTTACAGATCAAAACAGCTTACCAGACTTCTGTACTCTTCATAAATCATAGTGTTATCAAAAACATTGTAAGCTTAACAACATAGACTGAAAGCTCTTTTCTAATTTGAGCAGTGCCCTGTCTATTATTCTTTGTCATATTCAGTAATATGTGAGTCCTTTGGAGTTGGTGCAAATAAAATAATAAATTGTATATATTGATGCTTAATTGATAGGTAATTATTTTTATTGTTTTACAATAGAAATGTTACTACAGTAGAAGTTAATTAGTGTAAATGCTGGAGAACCTCAAATAATAGAATAGAAGACTGTGTACTATTACTAGTTGAATATCTTAAAAACTCCTTTTGCAGGGAAAATAATGTTGGAATGGATGTTTTCGTGTCTAATAGTCTGTTTTAGAAGCGTTACCTGCACAGAACACTTGTGTGTAAATTCAGTTATTTGTGCTCAGTGTTTAGTCTCTGCTGAGATTTATGGGCAAGTTTGCCTTCCCTTTGGTGGCAGTGCCAGTCTGGAGAAGTAAATTGGTCCCTGACAGACACCTCTCCCCACTCGCTGCGGTAGCCATGGCAACAGGCCTGTCATCCTACCATACGCACCGTGCACAGAGATGCTCCTCCTGCATCGTGACAGGTCCTGTGGAAGCCCGAGAGCTTGCCGGCTCCAAAGAGCAGCGCCGAGTGAAACAAACACCCTGCCAACCTTCAGCCAGCAAACAACCTCCTACTGAAGAGATTAGACTGGTGTTTCTTATTTTTCTTACAAGTTACGTCTGACAGGAAAATAGCACCCTTGTATATTCCTGATTTTTTTTTTTTTACATGTAAAAGAAAATAAAGGTTGGTTGGAGTCAGTATTTTTTTATTTTTTGCTTGCAAGCAAGGAAAAAAAAACATCATGAAGAGTTATTTTCTGTACTTGTTCATCGTTTCAAAATGCCTTACTAGTATCAATAAAGCAAAACCAGAACTTGAACTCAGAGGAATTTAAAAGTATGTTTGCTAAATGACGTACGTAAGTTTCTGAGGTGAAACTTTAAAAGTTTAAAAAAGAGCCCTTTTTCAAGCCAGTTTATCCATCTAGAAAGCCATTAGCCATTGCATAATTGTTTCTGTTTCAAGGGAGATAATACATATGATTTTCTGGAGCAGTATCTTTCTTTTAAGATTCCTCTTTTCCCCATGCATTGTCTTTTTTTGTACACTCAAATTTTGTACATTTAAAAGCGGTATATAATACACACCTCTTAAAAACTAAGTCCAGATTTGAAAGTAGTTATGGCCCAGAACATGCCTTGGATCTTTTTATTTTCCAAGTCTATGAGAAATTCACCTCTCTACTACTCCATATCCCCTTCTATTTATTGAGACTTCAGAAGTATTTTTTAAGTACAATGAAGATTGCCAAGTAAGGACCAGTCTGTATTCTTCTGGACCTGTGTCCTTTCCTGTATATAATAATAATACAAGGCTCAGAGAAGTTTGTGCATGTATGCTCTTCCCCTCCAAATAATCCTCTCCCCTTCAGGTGGGTCCTGTTGGCAGTGGCTTTCATGAAGTTTGGAGAAAACTGCAAGGGCCAAAATGTAGCTGGGAGGTACTAAACTTCCAAGAGATTTACTGACTAACTTCAAGTAGATCCATTAATGACTGTCTGTGAATGACAGAAGCTGATGCCATTAGTGTTTCATTTTTCATACTGTGAAGAATAATCCTTCAGAAATCTCTCTACTCAGGAGGTATAGAAATGTGTTGCTTGTTGGATCTGGATTCAAAGGAAAAGTTTAACCTGACTGGTAAAACTTTGAGATATTTTTGGCTACTTTCACATCAATATGCCAATAATACTTAGACTTACTACTCCTTTTTATTGGCTCCTCTTTATCTAATTCCAGTATTTGAAGGGAGTCTGGAGAAAAGTAAGCAGAATGTGACTAACCTCAGCTGACAGAGGTTTGACATGATTAGGAAAATTAGTGAAAAGCACCATTAGAGGTTTAGTAGACCTCCGATAAAATGGTCCAGCATCTAGTATGATTAGTTAACATTAATGTTTTAAGGGACCATCTGCTGCTGGCCATCACAGATTAATATTTTTTGACTGTCCTGCATGACTTTGTGGGCCTTAGGACACTAGCCTGTTTGAGGTATTAGGCTACAGAAGACTTTGGGTTAAGTTAACCAAAGTAATAACCTGTTTGTTCACACTGACTTAAACATCTTTGTTAAGAGCTATTTGGAAATTCAGGGTCTGACCTAGAAATATGAGCATCAGTTTTACATCCTTTTTAAAACCTCCTGGTAACTCTTTGCTGCTGATCATTAAGAATGAAACCTTTACAAATTGAGCATGGTTTTAAGTCATACAGAATAGCACTTGTTGTTTCAGAATTGTTTTGGTTTTTCCATGTTTGACAACAGACCTTTAATAGGCAACTTTCTTTCTTTAACGTTTTTGGTATGCTTTGGAGCTTAAGTTGGGTGTTTTCAGGGTAATAAAGTTGGGGGGGGTGGTTTTTTGTTTGCTTTGAGTTGGGTTTTTTAATTCTTCATAATCAGAATTCTTGCTGCCAAAGCAAACATTGTTGCAAAAATTACATGAAAAAGGTTTAAAAAAAATTCCAAACTAGTGAGAGTATAAAAGACGTAGTGGTGTATCTAAAAAAATGTTATCCTACTTTGTCATGCAGGCTTGTTGTTGCAGAGTATTAGACTTATGCTTTTCTTACATTTCAGGTATGGAATAAGCCATTTGTCAAGGCCTTGTGTGCCTGACAGAATTATACTGGTAGAAATTCTGTTACTGGCCAAAACAAATACATCTGATATTATCTGGTGTTTGAATAGCTTTATCTTTTACAACTCTGATGATTTGATACTGTGAAACAAGCATCTGTCATCCTTTATCCAATAAGAGAACTGATATTCTGATACAGTTTTTTCTGTTTGTGTGTTGTTCTTACTGATGTTCTTCCTAAGAAAAAATATTTTTCTCATTACTGAAGTTTCTGTAAGTTTTATGTATGTTTGCTGTGAAAGTTTGAAATACCAAAACACTTTTTCTGCATGATCGATATCCATTATATCTGGGGAAAATAGTTTAATTAAATGCCTAATTTTATGCTATTGCTTAAACACACATCAAGAAATGCATGAATTTGCTCTGATTAGAAGTCACTAAAGAATTAGACTAGCTTCTATTTTTCCTGTTCTTTTTAAAATTCTGATCATCCAAGCCTAACAAATAACATACAGAGAAGTCATATTGTGTCGTATTATCCTGTACTATTATCCAGATCTTCATAAGGTAGTGTAAAAAGTTAACTTTACATAAGTAAAGCCTAAAAGCCTGCAAAGCCCAAGACTAAAGAATCCGCCAGAGTTAAAACATGCATCGCTTCACAGAGCTTATAGGCGAATTGGCAGATCAGCTTACTCTGTAAGCCATGAGACTTGGATAAATGGAGAGCCATGTGGTACTAACCGTGTTTCACAACTCGGGCTCTGTCCACCCAATATGGAGAAGGAAGTTATTTAAAAGAGTAGTTTCTTGTCTTGGCAAAATCTTTCCACTGGATTTCCAGAGCAGCTGCGCAATGTTTTGTGCTTGATAGTTACTGTTCGTTCCAGCTGGTGGAAATGAATATCTACAGTTTATCAAACCACTTTGCTGTGATGAAAACTACTGGGAAGCTTTCATTTATCTAAGCTAGTCTTTTATATATTTTATATATAT